ACGAAAATAAAAGCAATACGAAAAATAAAAAAAAATCGAAATCGAAATTAAGAAACATCACAATAATATTTCCGTATACTGACAAACAGTTAGTTTGAATTAAATTAAAAGGAATTTTAATTTATTTAGTTAAAATTAAATTAAAATTCCTTTTTAATTTAATTTTAACTAAATTTTTTTGCTCATCTTTATATTTATTTTCTTCGTTTTGATTTATATCATTTTTATGCAAAATGACACCTCATTCTGTTTTTACAAAATGACACGTCATTTTGTAACAAAATATTTCCATCACAAGAGTCTTTCGTAGTGTATCCCCGCATTCGTAGCGTAGTTGAACTTAGAACCGTAGCGTGAACTAAGGTTTGTTCTTTTCATTAAATTATAAAATCTGATTTTAACGCATTTTCACATAAATTGATATCATTTTAGAATCCGCAAATACCCATCTATATTGTTATTAAAAACCCAATTAAATAAATTACAGTTATACTAAAAATTACTAAACTCATAAACCACAGAAACGCTATCAAGTATTCTAGTGCTTTTTCAATGAAATTACAATCCTCTTTGATACTAACGGATCATACAAGCATTTAAAATATCGGGGAGGGGGGGGGGTTCGTCGCATATGTTTAAATAGATCATCGACAGGTTTATCTTTGTTTTTATAGTAAAATTGTTGACCAGGTAGTTGTGAAAAATTCGCATTGCAATATGTTTCTTCAATTATGCACATACTTTTACCCGCCATTATTCAAACCAACTTCTTTGCGTGTCGAGTTCCATTTATTTCACCATTTAAGCTTCTTTTAAATGTATTTTTCATATGAAATGCTTTAATTCTAGCATTTTTAAGTACTTTTTTGATATAAAAACGCGAAGTCTTGAATTTTCTTGCTAGATCTCGCTGTGAATGGATCGGATTTTTCGCTATTAAACTGAAAATCGACTTTACCTTTTTGAATTTATGAAAAGTTTTCTTTTTTCCACTTCCAGGTTTTTTCGTTTTTTAGGATTTGAGTAATCTTAAACTTATTTATAATATCTATGACTGTAGATTTTGGGACATTTGTACGTTTAGCAATCAAGCGATATGAAGTCGATGGATTTTTGAAAAAAAATTTTTTTTTTTCAAAAATCTTTTTTCAAAAAATCTTTTTTTACAAAGTTTTTACGCATCTCTATTTGTTTTCAAAACATTTGGCAAATCATTGATTTGTAAACAAATGTTTATCAATACAATTAAATATAAGGAAGCAATGTTTAATTAAAAAAATAAAAGAAATACAAAGCTTTTGTGGTTTCAGTGAAATTTCAATTTAAAGTTGACCGGATTTTTTCGTGTCTATCCGATATTCTTTAGGCATGCTCTCGAGCTCTTCGTCGTAAAGACACGTCTATTTCTTGAGATCTATTTTTTACTTCAATATTCACGCTGTTTTTTTTTGCGCAAAAAAAAAAGTTATTCAATATTTGGATTTTTAATACAATCTTTTTTCGGTTTTCCGGTTTTTTTAATCGGTTTTCCGCAATCTCTTTGAAAATGCCTGAGCATCATTTCAGCATCATGAATGTAATCATAACAATTGAGTATCTTTTTAAAATGACACAATTTTTTCTGTGTCGTTTTGTGCCGCAAGATTTTCATTTATCAATTTTTTGATTCCATTTTTATAAAATTTGTTCATCGGGCTTGCGTCATTTTAGTCGCTTGAAACTTTGTACCAGTTTACTGCTACCGGAATTGCCATTTTTAATTTTTCTGTAATTCTTTTAATCGTTCAATGGTTTTATTTCACAATTCCGTTTTTATTGGGATAATACATACTCTCCATCAACCTAAGAAACTCCTCATTGCCTTAGTTATGAACTTTTATATGGCAACACTTCAGATTGTGTTCCCGTTCATAAAAAATAAATAAGTTTTATAAATTATTGGAAACTGATTTGGTCTCCCTGATTACCATTCAATAATACAATAGTTCAAATAATAATATTACTAATAATAATGGGACCAATTTAAAGGGCAAAATATAACGTTTATAAAGTGTTAAAATTTGTTTTAACGACAACTTTGGAATTAAGAAGTCAATGGAAAAAATAAATAAACTCTATAAGTATTACTTATTACTATTCTCTGTAAGTTATGTGGAGTCAAGAAGTTATGTGAAGTCAAGAAGTTATGTGAAGTCAAGAAGTTATGTGAAGTCAAGAAGTTATGTGAAGTCAAGAAGTTATGTGGAGTCAAGAAGTTATGTGAAGTCAAGAAGTTATGATTTAATTATATCACATCTTTTACTTGCTTGACTTTCTATTTGATAGTTAAATACTTATAAAGCGACTGTTCCTATTTTAAAGAAAAATTTGTAACTAATATCTTTCATCTAATAATTTGATTCTAATAATTAATTTCTATTTATCTAATAATTTGATCACTTATGTCCTATAATTTGATTACTTATACCTTAGTAAAATATAGTTACTGTTTGGCTTATAGAGCAAATTGGTTAAGACTATGGTTATAAAACAAATAAGTTACCAATAATTTTATGAAACAAGTTGGTTAACGTAGAACCAATGTATTTTACAAAAAAATAAAGTTTATGAAATTATTTTTACCATTTACAATAAAAGTTACTATAAGTTAAATAAAAATTATTAAATACTATGTTTTAATTTATAGGTCGTTAAACTTAGCAAGCGAGAAAAAAAAGGTAACCAATTTTTATTTTAAAATTTGGAAAATAAAATGTATTGTTGTTAATTTTTTATACTTTCTGATACAAATTCTATTTTCAATCTTTATTTTTCAGATCTTCAACAAATTTTTGATTCTTTTGATCATGATTCGAGTAAGACAATCAATATTGAAGAGTTGGAAGAAGTTGTTAAATGTCTAAACATTGATATTCGTAAAGACGACATGGAGAAGTTATTTAATGCTGTTGATAAAGATGGTATTCTTTTGCTTCCATTTTTTTTTGTGTGAGTTGAAGCTCATTTTGCATCACTTGCAACATAAACTTTGTAACGTTTGGACGTATTTTAGGCGTTAAATTATCAAATACGATAATGTAAAAAAAAAAGGTCATTACGTCACATTAAATGCTAATCACTCGTTGCTACGCAATTTTTTCATATTTATTAAAAGCTAGGCGCGATTTTCTCTAATGGGATTCTGAGAAAATTGATTTTTTTAAATATGATTATATACTTGAAATTTGCAGTTTTTACTAAAATTTTAACTATAAATTAATTTAATTTACTGTTTAAGGAAGTGGAACTATTGAATTTGATGAGTTTGTTGATGCATTTGCAGTTACATTTTGTCCTCCAACAGAAGCTGATCTAGTTGCTTCGTTCAGAGCTTTAGATCGTAATGGAGATGGTTTCCTTAATTATAAAGAAATAAAAAAAGCGATGAAAAATGCCGGTCAACCAATATCGGATCAATGTATTAAAGAAATGATCGAGTTCGCTGACAAGAATGGTGATGGACTTGTTAATTATGAAGGTAAACTCTTAAAACAAATTTAATTTATTTTTATTTATTAAAAAATGATATGAGAACTTTTAAATAAAAATGTTTTTCTAAACAAAAAATATTTTATTTAGAATTTGTATCGATATTAAAATCATGAAGCAAAGAAATGAAAAGCGGAGCGAGGAAAATGTTTATCATGCAAAAAAAATTTAATTTATAATTGAATTAAAATAAAATTCAAAATGTTACGAATTTTGCATTAACAATAATCAATATAGTAAAATGATTCTTATATTTATATACAACTCTACAACCCTCATCCCCTCTATATACAACTCCACAACCCCCGTCCGAAGCATTATTTTAGAGCCTTTATAATTTTAAAAATTTAAAAATTAATTTTTAAAAGTTAACAAAACACTTTATATATATATATATATATATATATATATATATATATATATATATATATATATATATATATATATATATATATATGTATGTATGTATGTATGTATTTATGTATATATATATATATATATATATATATATATATATATATAATATATATATATATATATATATATATATATTCAATATAAATGTATAACAATATATAATTAAATATATGAGACAAAATAAAGATAACTTTATTTATACAATTATACAATGTCCAAAGATATTGTTGGTTTTTTTTTTCCAATTTCACTTCCAATTATAGATCGCCGTGTTATGCATTAAAACAAACTAACTGTGGGAAACATAACGTCTAGTTATTACTATTTAAGGCTAACAACATTAAGAGCCGTGTCGTTCTACTGATCGTAATTTATAAAGTAAATTTTTTTTTAAATATAGTTTATTTTACCTGTAATTTCATTACCTTCAATTTCATTGGGTGGTGAAGAGAAAATAATGAAAAGTTAATGTTTGTTTAAAAAGGTTTAGTTTAAAAAAAGCTTACAAGAATACGAGATGTACAAATTCGTTTGAAACAACTTTTTATATGAAAAAAAATAAGCAGCGTTACTAAACATTTCATATTTTAGCAGGTGCAAAATATCAAAAAAACACTCAGTAAGCTATGAAACATTTACAGTAAGTTATAGATAGAAAGCGATACAACGGTAATTTAAAAGAAGCTTATTTATAAAAGTATAAAAATATATTTAAAACTATGTTAAAAGTTTTTACACATATTTAATAACTACATTTAAATATATATTTTTTATTATACATTTTCTCATTATCAAAAAAATATTTAAAAATATATACATAACACAATTTTTTATTATATATAAAATGTGTCATAACACAATTTTATATATAATAAAAAATTGTGTTATGACACATTTTCATCATGAAAATATTTAGTGTTATGACACATTTTCATCATAAAAATACTCAATGTTAAACTGACACGAAAATTTATTTTAATTTTAGTTTAAAATTAGAATCTCATATTTTATGTGTTGTTTAAATAAGCATACTCTTATTCTTGATGAGAACCTTGTTTCGTAACAAATATTTTTCGACAAAAAAAAATTCTTTAACAAATTAGTTGATGTCAAAAAGAAAACCGTTTTTATCGTTTTGTTTATCGAGAACCGTTTTTATCGTTTCTATTGTTTAAACAATGATTAGTGTTGAATTGTTTTCAGTATTACTGCAAGTAAAAGCGTTTTCGTAAATTTCACCCTCATAGGTAAAGCAGTCCCCGGTACAATCTAATAGCGATATTTTCCCGTTGCGACAACATGCACAAGGTTTTGGAAAAGTACCCATACCAACAGTTAGTTCAAATGTAAATGCTTTGCAAAATTCTATATTTAAGTCACTTATATACTTTAGCCCGACACATGTTTGAAGATATCTGATTGAGATATCAAATGGATCGATTTTTAAAACATTTTGATTTTTCACATACTCTGAAGTCTGTATACACAATACTCGATCCTAAAAAAAAAAGAGGAAAAAAATTTTAAAGTGGTACCTATTCGAAAAGACGATCAAAAAGGTGAAATTTAATATTAAATAATGTAATATTAATAAATTAATATAAATTAAATTTGAAGTACTTTTAAACGAATCTAAAATTTTTAAGAAATTAAATGCAAGTAGTTTATCAAAACAAATAAAGTTATTAAATTATGTTAATTTATAATTATAATATCTTTAAATTATTTGAAAGCTGTCCCATTTTTAAAAAATGAATTCCAGTAATATGCTAGCATTGGCTGCTGCATTTTCCTGATATCTGTATATAGATGCTTTTTTATGCTAAACAAATGATCAAAACAAAAGCCAACTTTATTAGAGCTTTGATCAGTTGTTCAGCCATTTTTGAATAGTTAATAATTTTGATTTCATACATACGCTTGTATAGATACTTGAAAGTATTGGCTACTTCTTTTATGAATATAAAAATAAGTAATGCGCCATATGAAATATCTTTTCAGATATACTTAAACTATAGATTTATAGGAACTGCACTGTTCTGAATTCTGAGTTATTATAGTTGTTTATCAGCTAAAACGTTTTGCTTTTTTTTTTCCAGAAGTACTATTTAGAATTATAGCAAATTTAGAAATTTTAGCCATCGGATTCTTTCGTAATGACTAAGCTTAAGTGGTAAGTTTGCAATGTAAAAAATGCGTTAGAAATAAAATCAAAAAAACTCAAGTTCTTTTTCTGTTATTCCATGTCTGTTATATTCTTCTTTCGAGATAAAAATAAACTTTTTACTGATTCAACAATTCTTGATTCAGACATCTTCGTTCATTGCATACAACTCTTTACTTAAAATCTTGGAGTGATTTGATTAGTTTAAAACAAAAATTAAGTATTGTTTTTACCATATATTTTTTTTTTCGTCAAACCCTGTGATGTTTTTGTTAATAGAAAATTTGTCAAAAGAAAAAAATAAAGCCCCTTGATGTCTTGTTATATTTTTTCGGTAATAGAAATATTATTAAAAGAAAAAATGTCTTTGTTAATGTCAATTTCTTGCCCATTTCTTTGCATAAGTTTGAAGACCAGGCATCGTTTTCATAAAGTAGCACAAAAAATATTATACACAACCTACGTTTCATTTTCAAAAACTCAAATCAGGTAGGGTCCTAACTTGATGTGGGTTTTTGAAGATAAAGAAGTAAAAATAAGTGAAAACCAAAGAGTGAACCCTAAATTCAATTAAGGTATATAGCCGCTGTGTAATCTTTTCACTGACAAAAAGTTCTAGATCTACTTAAGAAAGGTTGGCTGCAAACAATCAAACTCTTCTAGGTGGGTATAAGAGAATCCCTGAAAACAACAGTCCAGAAAAACTAATTTAAGCCTAAATGCATGGTTGCCATTACCATGTCAATAAAAAAGCTCTCTTTTGATCCACCGAAAGTAAAACCTACATTAAGAAGCAACAATCAATATCATGCACCAGAGTTTTAAAAGCTTGCACAACAATATAAAACCTCATGTTGTGAAATTTATCCTAGAAAGGTACTTGAACAGATGGGGCATAACAATAACAAACCATACACCCAGTAGAAGAGTTAGCAAAAGGTTTACACCATTTCTTACAACTTATTTCTTAGAAATTCGCATATGGCTGTGGGAGCAACTGAAGCTTTTTATAATTGTGATAAAAAAATTTATGATAATTTAAACAAATTTAAAAGCATAATTCGTAAAAGGTATTTTAATCTGTATATATATAAATGTACATTTATATTTAAACATGTGTAGATGTACAATTTCTATATGTGTAAACGCTCAAATTTGCCCAATTCAAATTTCATTAGTCAGATGTGCAATTAGCAGATGTGCATATATTTGTAAAGGCATTTTTATTGAAAAGAATTTTTGTTACAAAAATAAACATAATTAAAATGTTATAAAAAAGTATCATAATTATATAATAAGTTTAATAATTACCAGCCAAACTGATGCAACCCCATGAAAAGTAAATGTAAGACGAAAATGATTTCCACTTAAATAAAACGGCTCAATAAAATCCTCTTGAAAGTAATACAGAGTAGTACGACAACCATACATGCTGGGACAATAGGAAAAATACACCTAAACAATAATGAATTTGTATGAATATATACTTTTTAACTAAAACAAAACAGTGGAATACATGGTGCATTTCAAATAACAAATGTTGATCTTTAGTTTAAAATTATTATTTTGTATGATACATAAATAAATAACAATAAATATAAATAAAAACTAATAGTTAAATATTTAAAATAAATTAATTAGTTACAAAAATTATTAGTATATTAAAGCACTACTTATCAGGTAAAAATTCAAAAAATAAAGGTATACCCTTGATGCTATTGCTCTGCGATCTGTGGATACAACAACCTTTGCATAAAACCCATCTAAATTAGGCTGATAGTAGTGAAGCACTATATAGTAAAAGTTTTGAGAGAGCTTCATAGCCCAACGAAGACTTCGCTATAATGTATATAAATATATATATATATATATATACATATATATATATATATATATATATATATATATATATATATATATATATATATATATATATATATATATATATATATATATATATATATATATATATATATATATATATATATATATATATATATATGACAGAGTATAGTATATTAAACTAAAATCATGTATTATTATATAAGTTATAAAAACTTACTTGCTCGTTTGAAAGGAGAATAGCATAAGAATTAACATTTGGTGGAAGACCAAGTGTCAAATTATTTGACAATTTTGGCATTAGTTCAAATGATTTAGCTGGTACAAGGAAACTAGCATTAATGCACTTTGAAGAATAATGTATACAATATAGGCTAGGTCTGATAAAATTTGTACTCCAATATTGAACTGGAACTAATGAAATGAATTTCTAAAAAAAACTAAATTATTAAAACTTAAACAAAAACAATTACAAACAAAAAACCAAATAAGACGTATGTGTTCTTACTATGTATATTGGACCTCCAGATAACACTTTAAAATGCAGATTTCTTTTCAAATAACCTCCTTTAAATCTATGCTTTGTTATTTTATTTAGTGCCACTTGCCTACAAGCAAACTTGTATCGACATTCAGGAAGCAAAAAGTGACCTACAATGTAAATAATAATTCAAAAAATTCATTTACTTATGTTAAATTTTTAATGCTATTTTTTATTTTTTCTAAATAAGTTTTACAGCAAATTTATTAACTTTGAAACTGTTTATTGTTACTTTTCAGATTATTTTTTATTATTGTTAACAAGGACTTCACAAAAGTGTAGAATGTTTTAAAGTGTTTACAAAGCACTGCAAAACTGGCTATTTTTTTTGCAACAAATGTGAATTTAAATTTAAATAGATCTCAAAAAAAAAAGTATTGTGGCTGCATATAAAATGTATATAAATGGTCAATGCTCAAATGAGCTATCATCTCTATTACGGTAAACCAAAACTCATTTGTTGGTTCTTATTAAACATTTTCATTACTAATTTGAATTATTAGAACTTATGAAAATCAATTAAAACCAGTCCTTCTTATCAAAGCAAGGGTTAAAGCTCTGAACTAATCTTTTTTATAAAAGCATTTTGCAATATAATAATTCGATTAAAAACAAATTTGATTGTTACACTTCTGATAAATCACTGTATCGGAAAAGTAAAAAAACTATAATAAAATTGTTATAAAAAAAAACCAACAAGAAACCTCCTCAATTAAAGTTGCATCCCTGAACTTTGGGAAAGTAAATATATTAAAAAAAACTTTTATTAAAAAAAAAAAAAATTCATAATAAGAGGTTGTCAATTACCAATTTCAGTTTCTTCTTCATTACCCACCAATAACTCTACTTCAGTAAGTCTTACAAAGCTGAGATATTGTATAACAACATAAAATTCTTTCATTTCTCGAGCTACTGATGAGATATTCAATGTCTAAATAAAAAACACCCTTTTAACTTATTCTTATTTATCAAAACTTCTTTAGCATATTATAATAAAATATTACTGTCATAAAGCAGTACAATTTTTAAGTTAATTTTGATTCACTCCTAAAAAAAGGCTGCAAGCAACCACTATTAAGGTGGGAGTTACTAGAAAAAAAAAAAGAATAGAGTTATAGAGCAAGAAAAATATTGACAGAAGACTTGAAAAGTTGATTGTTGTTTAAATTAGGAAAGCAAGAAGATGGGAGAGAGTTCTAAAGGGTTGAAGTGCAGGGAAAAAAACAAGACAAATAAAAGTTTTTAGAACATGCAGGGACAGATACAGCAAACAAGACTTTGCTGAATGATGAGTCAAACAAGAATGAGTTTTAGTTGATGGAACTAGAGATGATAGGTAATTTGAGCAGCGACCATGATAGTATATGTAGAAAAGAGAAAGAGATGCAACTTTATGACAATGGGAAAGAGGCTCAAGCTTAGCAGATTGGTCGGGTCCAACTATGTTAACAATGCATTTTTGGACCTTTTCTTGAGGAGAGATTCATTAGAAGGACCAGCCTAAATATGGCAACAGTATTCCATACAGGGACAAATAAGAGATTTGCAGAGGTAAAGAATGGAACCAGGAGAGAGAAAATGGGAAGCACAATAAAGAGAAGCAAGCTTAGCAGATTTAGCAATCGATTGTATATATGGTTTCCATGAAAGGTCAGTAGTAAACAATAATCCAAGAGGAGGTAAACAAGAGGTCTCAGTGAGAGGGTTGTCATTCAACAATATAGGAATGTTGACAGTGCTACGACTGAGTTTTGTTTGAGTTAAAATTTACAAGCCACTGTAAGCTTCAATCTGTTACAGATGTGAGATCAGAGTTCAAGCCTGTTCTAAGTGATCAAAAGGAGAAAACTTTTTGTCAAGATAAGAGTACAAAGTTGATAATGTAGATAAAAAAAAACAGGACCAAGGATAGAGTCATGAGGTACCCCAGGAAATAAAGAAGAGTGTTGGCCTCCGAGGATAACTTTAATAAAGCAGTTAGAAAGAAATAATTTGATCTCAAAAACTTTACCAGATACACCATATGAAACAAGTGTATGGAGAAGACCTGCATGCCAAACTTTGTTAAAAGCCTTATATATGTCAAGAGCAACAGCCATAGCCTCTCTACCTGCATCTAACGTACAATAAAACCTTTTCAGCCACAGCAGTTAGCAAGTAGGGCAAGAGAATTGAAAAATGTATTGATTGTCTGACAGTTAGTTATTTAACTCAAGATAGGATGTTAGAAATTTGTTTATCAAGGACTCAAAAACCTTGCTAATAACAGAATGAAGACTGATCAAATGATAATTAGAGGGTTAGCATGTTCACCAGAATTTTTGAAAATTGAAACAACAGATGACATTTTCCATCAGGCAGGAAAACAAGACTTAGTCAAGCACTTATGAAATAGTTTTGAGAGAATTGAAGAGAGTTCTGGAGAACAGTTTTGTAAGATTATGACAAGAATGTTGTCTGGACCACAAGCCATAGAAGAGTTTATTAAAGATACAACTTTAGCGATGGAAGCTGGAGTAATTTGAATGTTTAACAATAAGTTAACCTGTGTAATTGGAATGGAAGAAAGAAAATTGCCATAAGATTTGAGAGCCAAATTAAAAGAAAAGTTCTTTACAAATAGTTCTGCTTTATCCTTGGTATAGGTAATAAGATTAGTCCCATAAATGAGAATGTTATGTTCTAACATAAGTCTAATGTAGGTCTAACATTCCATGAATGGAATGTTAGACCTTATTAACAATGTACCCTTATTAATGATGCTGTTGAAGATTTTCCAAAAGTTTTTAGAGCCTAACTTCTGAGATAAGATATGAGATTTAATGAGCTGTGGCCGTATTCTCATCTCTCCGTTAAGCTTAACGGAGCATATGTCAAAAAGTTCTTTTTAACTACATTAATTCAAAAAATTCTTTAAAAATATAAATTTTTAAATAAAATTGATTTATTTTAGTATTAGTTTTAATTAAACAAATTTAAATAAAGTTTTTGTCATTTCTTTACATAAAGATGTTGTAATTTAATCTTAATGATAAGAAAACTCCAGTTGGAGTTTTCTCATCATTAAGATTAATATTAAACTTAAAAATATTCTTGATTCTATCAATCAAAAAAACTGGGTAATATGCAATCACTTTTCTTCAAACACAAAAGCAAACAGATTTTTTGCATTATGATGGCTACAAAATTTGGAGCCAACATATTTCAATTTTATTGCCTTTAAATTTGAAATTTTATTAAAGAAGAAAAAAAAAGTTAAACAATAGGTTAACACAATGTTGTTTAGAGATAAACAACATTGTATTAACCTATTGTTGTTGCAACAATTAAGACAAGCAAAAGGTTTTTTTTAGTGACTTTTAGTCAGTGGAAACTCATTTTGAAAATTAAGTTTGCTATGTAAATCAGGCAAAAACTTTAAATGTGATTTTCTCCTGTGGACGTAATTAAAAGATTTTACTTTTTTGTTTTAAAATGATTGCCATAACCTATAGAATCAACCATCCAAGGGATTTTTGGGGTCATTTCCAAAGAGGTTAGGAACCCGTTTTGGACAACTGTGCCCAGTAGAAAGACTTATTTTTGTAAAGAAACCCTCACAGTTTTGTAAACAAACCCAGTTATAACAAATCAACAAATTAAAAGTACTGTTGCATTTCTGCAAACTTGAATTGATGCATAGAAAATTATAAATGTACGAAGAATGCCTGATGATGTGTGATACTTAGCCAGCTGTCATTTAAAGTGTTGAAGATAATTGCCTACAACATTTACTAAAAATAGAAAAAAAAAAGCAAAAATATTTTTACCAAAAACAATAAAAAGGGTGCTGGTGATTTTTTATTTTCTGCTCAACAAGCTGCTGAAAAAATGCTTACCTACCATGTTAAACTACTACTAAAAATTGATGCATTTCTCACTGCTCCGAACATCATTTTTGTGATCAGTGTATTCAACAGCTGAATAAGAGAGTGATTCCTAAGTCATCAATTTTAGAGATATTGGATGACTTACTGTATTGAATGACATAATTGAATGACATATTAGATGACTTAAAAGTGTCTATGAAACAAGCAAAAACAAACAAAACAACTGAAAGTGATAATGTTGAAGCAGGCTTTTACAGGAAGGCATGCAAAAACACATCTTTATATGACCACACAAATTACATTTTGCTATGACGATTTGAGCGTGGCTAATTCAAAAAACATTTTAAAAACACGCTAAATGAAAAATATTCTGAAAAAGTGAAACTAATTACATCAAAACTTCTTAACAAATGTTTTTATATTAGTGAAACGCTTTTAAATACTGATAATGGTTTTTTTTTTAAATATAATTGAAAGTTTATATATTTCTTTAATTTATAATATATAAATTAAAGTGTGCATTGCTATAATAAACAATATTGAAAAATAAAAAATTGTTTTGTTTTTATAAATGATGACATTCCACGACTACAAAAGTCTCTTTAACGAATTTTAGTATAAGAATAATTAAAGTTTTTACATTTAAAAAGATAAACAAAATTTCGTTAAAAAATTTTTTTAGAAAGCCGTTACAATTAAATAAGTTTGATCTTAATTGCTTTTATATTATCGAAACGCTTTTCAATGAAGTAACAAAACACTTCTAATTAATTTTTAAAATAAGTATTAATAAACTATTGTTTTTTTTATTTATATAATTTATGAGAAATGTTTATCTTTTGAAATAAATAAAAAATAAAAAAGTGCAAATAAGTTTAGGTAAGTTTTTGTAGCACATTTTTAAATTTTGAAAATATGTCAAAAGCTGCGGTCAAATTGTTGAAACATATTATTTTTTGCATGGTCACATAAAGACGTGTTTTCGCACGCCTTTCTGTGAAAGCCTGTAAAGATACTTTTAATTATTTTCAAATGCATGGAAATTACTTGAAAAAACTTTAGGACAACTTCTTGTGTCAGTCGGTGTCTGTTATATTTCTGGGTGTATTTTAGTGGGTGTCTGTTAAACTTTATTTATGAAAACTAGATTTTATCATTATGTTTTGTCAAAAATCAGCATCTGAATATGATAAACCAAATTTATTATTATCATGCTCTTTTAAAAATAAACATTTGTACTAGAATCTTATCTATGATATTAATAAATAACTATATAAAATTGGCCAATTTGCATTCTAAGAAATAACCTACACAAGTGTAAATTTAAATTTCTGTTTCACGAGAGTGAAACAGAAATTTGAATAAATAATTATTATTAGCTTTATGCAGCTATATAAAGCATTATTAGCTTTAGTCCTTAAAAGTTCAAATTTGGGACTGACTAATATCAATTTTGACTATTACCAATTTATTTTAGATCACTCCACTGTTAAATATTCATAATATCACTCCAATAGTGTATGTTCTGAAGAACATCAGATTTATGTAATAGTATGGCTTGGAAAAAAAAAATCAACAAAGTTTTGAAGCTACAGCAAAACAGGAACAACAGATTGCAGAATAGTCAGAGGATTTTGCACAATAGGATAATTGTGCACACTAAATAGTTAAGAATGGAATATGTTAAAAATATGAAGCAGCACACACACCCAAAAAAAAAATTAGTAAAAAAAAAACCTTTTTGAAAATAAAAAAATCAACATAAACATAATATTTTAATTAAATATATATAAAAACAATATAATAAAAAAAAACATACATCTTGTAGAAAAACAGTTTTATTAAACGCTGAACTATTTTGATAATTCATCAGAGTAAACTCTAAGTTATTGTTCTCTCTATCTATAATTATTATATTGTCTTTAAAAATATCCATGTAAGTATAAAGTGCACAAAAACTTTGATTGTCATTTATACTGCATGGATTATAATGAGATTGAATTGAAGAATTGCTCAAATGTGGTACCAAAGTGATTTGCTTCTAAACAACAAATAAAAAATATAGTTGTTTAGTATAGTATGCATATATATATATATATATATATATATATATATATATATATATATATATATATATATATATATATATATATATATATTATGCAACAATTTTCATTTAAAAAAAAACATTGCATCATCACATAATTGTAACACATTAACATAGCAACTCATTAATCAAGTATTATATATAAAAAAAAAAATTAATTTTTATATGAGTATTTAAAAGTTTAAATAAATATCGATTATAAATTGTTTAATATGCTTACTAATAAAGAAAACTTTGAATATCACACACTTACCAATATAATGGTGTCATAAAAAATCATTTTTAGTTTCCATACACCCTTTGTCAAATTAAGCTTCAAATACTTCTTTCTTTTCTTTATAATGTCTATTTGTGGTTGAAGATAAGCGGATGTGCTCAGGTTATGAGTAGCAGAGAAAGACCTTACTTAATAAAATGTCGCAAATATCAATAAAACATAATTATATAAACCAAAACATTTATAGGAAAAATAAACATAAATGGTTTACTAAGGAATTCTTTTTAAAACAAATAAAATGTATTTAAGATGTATTCATATATATTTATATACATAAACATATATATATATATATATATATATATATATATATATATATATATATATATATATATATATATATATATATATATACAAATATATATATATATACATATGCATATAAATACATATATATATGTATTTATATACATATATAAATACATATATTTACAAACATATAATACATATATTTATATACATATAATACATATATATTATATATATATAATTAATATATATATATTTATAAAATTAATTATAAATTTATATATATATATAATTTATATATATATATATATATATATATATATATATATATATATATATATATATATATATATATATATATATATATATATATATATATATGTATATATATATATATATATATATATATATATATATATATATATATATATATATATATATATATATATATATATATATATATATATATATATATATATATATATATTAAGGGTATGACAATTTTTTAACCCTGTATCCCCATACTAAATTTAGTGATGTTTTAATGCAAAAATCAAGAAAATATCAAAGATTTATACTATATCTCAAAAAAGTTCACCCCACATTTAAAAAATATAAGAAATGAAATATAAGAAATGTAATTTTGCAAAACATGTTCCAGTACTTTACAGAAAAACAATAATCATGAGTAATTAAAGAAATTTTACAGTGTAATTGACAGAATTTGAGAGAATAAGTATTTAATACTAAGTTTTTCTATGCTATGACATAAAGGCACTAAATCTTACATCACTTTTACTTAATGTTTTGCACATATATTTGACTGTTATGTTGAAATTGGTGTTGGCTCTGTGGACAAAAATGTCTTCAACAATTTTAATACTTTTGGATGCTCATGGTATACTCCTAATAGATTAACAAAATCTGCAGGATTGAAGTAGCGATCACCAGACCATATATCAACCTATGAATAACAGATGAAGTCGCATGCTGCTTGAGCAGATTTTAATACCTTTAATAATATAAGTTTAAGATAAGTTTAAAAGGTACCTGTGCTTTTAAACTTTCTATAAAAAGCTATTAAGTGATGCAGGAAATCCATGCCATCTCGCCAGCGTGTCCAATTCACTTTTGTCAAAGAATTTCCAGTATTCTGAAATAATAACTTCAGTGTCTCACATTCTTGCAGTAATCTTGTCACAAAAAAGTGATGAAAATTTGGTGATGTTGTTGATCTTTCAAAAAAATCATCTAAAATATGGTGTTGGCGTCCTTTAACAGTAGGCTTTTCTAGTCAATTGGTTTTGAAACGTTTCTGTAACAGTGTCATTACACTAATTCTTATTCCGGTATTTGCAGATGTTGTGTCAGATTTGTTGTGTCACTTTTAGTTTTTTAAGTTCTCTATATAATTTGCTTTCAACTTTTCTCCTTCTTTCATGGCACCTTTGTAGACACCACTTTGAGTTGGAGTAGGAAATGTTTTGTTGGAAATTCCACCTTTTGATAGAGTTTTACAGATTTTATTTGCTTTTTTGGTACTAATCTTCTTAGAAATCACTAAATTTACAGCCAAATTTGTTTTTTTTTATCTTTTAGATGACGATGACAAACTTTCGACATCTTCAGCTTCAGTATCACTGCTGGAACACTATTCTTCAGTTTCTAAATGACCTCTTTCACTAGCTGATTCATCGAAATCATGGTCTTGGCTGATGGAAGTTTGTTTCTTTATCAACACTAATTTTCTTGGATGAATACCTTAAGTACCTTTAATTGTGGTACAATATCCAACTCTTCCATTTGTTGACATTTGCAGACCTCAAAATTCTTTATCTTCCTGACATAACCATTCACCTTTCTCATTAGTTATGTTTGGGTAAAATTTTGAGTTCCGGGTTTTTGATTATCTTTGTCAAATTTTTTCAATACATTTTCTATTTTTCTTTCTGATCTCCCTTGTAGAAATGGAATATGTAGCTTTCTCCATAGTAGTTAAGTTTCTTTAGCCAAAATTGCAACTCTCTCTTTTTTCTGCTTTTCACATTTGATGACAAACTTTTAAATCAATCAATGATATCCTGTTCTGTTAGCATTTTATTCATTTCACCAATACTTTCAACAACACCACATCTTCTTGAAATCTTAACTTTTTCAAACCTCACTAAATTTTATTCCCACACTTTCTTATTCTTGTCTAAAGTAAAACCATTTTTAGCCATTTTTGTGTGTCTATTACGTTATATATAACTCATAAAGATAACAATAAAAAGATAGGATAACAATAAAAACTATTTTCAGCTTGGGGGGGGTGATCTTTTTCAAAAATTTTTAGTCATAACCTTAATATATATATATATATATATATACATATATATTTATATATATATATATATTTATATATATGTATATAAATATATATATATAGATTTATATATATTTCATGAATTAAAAACATGTATATAATATATACATATATATCTTATACTGCTGAGTTAGGTGAGCATGATGATGTCATACTCACCTAATGTCAAATAGCCTGCTGCCGGGGGCTTCAGTACCTACATCGACTGACAAATAGCCTGACTCGCCGTGGAGTGCTGCTACATCGACTGAGGGTTTGGTATGGGTCAGCAACATTTTCATTCATTATTCTTCGTTTTCCCTCATCGTTTTCTAAAAATGCTCACTTAATTTAGGCTAGCAAAAAAAGTGAGCAATTGCGCATATAAATATGCTATAGTAGATATATATAAATATATATATATATATATATATATATATATATATATATATATATATATATATATATATATATATATATATATGTATATGTATATAACATGTATATACATATGTATATATATATATATATATATATATATATATATATATATATATATATATATATATATATATATATATATATATATATATATATATATATATATATATATATATATATATATATATATTTCATGAATTAAAAACAATACAAATAAAAAAAACCTTTATTTGAAATTTCAAAATCTATTTGTGCAATTTGATTTTTTTGCAGAGAGTAGTGAATCAAAAGATAATAAAATCCACTTTTTGTAATATGTATTTGCTGCACATTTGTAGCATAACTCCCATTTACTTTAATGCCTTCTACAATTCCATTATTAATCCACTTCGCCACAGGAACTATCTTACTTCCATTGATTTTTATATGATCAAGAGTAGGTAGATAAAACCCAGGTACTGGTTGGTTGCATTTTAATCCATAAAAGTACTTTTTGCATATACATTGACCTGTTTTTTTGTCACATACTTGATTGACTGATCCACTGTTACTGCACAAGCATGCTTAAGCAAAAAATTCACTTTTAAAATATATATAATTCAGCTTATATAGTATTGAAACTTAAAAAAACATATAATTTAACTATATAATAATTTTGAAACATAAAATCAGAGATGGAGAGTCACAAAAACTAATTCTGGGACTTTTTTACCTGAATTCTTTGATTAGAGCTGGATTTGGTATGAAACTCCAAAAATGCTTAGAAACTTTCAAACTTCATAAGGAGAAGTAAAAGGCTTAGGGTCTTAGGGTTTACATGTATTTTTTGGCACTTGCCATCCCTCATTAAAATGTTACATATTAAATTAAAAAAAAGTAAATTTAAAGGCTGTTATTAAAAAATGCATCTTCTATTATCTATACTCTAAAACAATATACTCCTGTTTAAGAATACATGTTTAAGTTTAGTTTTTATTTCAAAACTACAAACATAGAAGCAAATTTTACATTTTTACAATAGTAAATCTCTTACGTTCACAACTAAAAATACTAGTAGCATTAGATTCTTTCCAACCATCAATACATTTATCACAACTTCTACCCTCAACATTAGGCTGACAAATACATTGCCCAGTTGTTTTATCGCAAGACTCTGAACCTCTTATTGTCCCAAATGAAGAACAGTTACACTTTTGACAACCTTCTGGGTTTCCTAAAGTCATGTTGAAGTAGTAATCTTTGCATGATCCACAATCATCACCTTCTACATTTTTCTTGCATGTGCAAAGGTCCTATTTTTATATTATATACATATATATATATATATATATATATATATATATATATATATATATATATATATATATATATATATATATATATATATATATATATATATATATATATATATATATATATATATATATATATATATATATACATATATATATATATATATATATATATATATATATATATATATATATATATATATATATATATATATATATGTATATATATATATATATATATATATATGTATATATATATATACACATATATATGTATATATAAATATATATATATACATATATATATATAAATATATATATATATATATATATATATGTATGTATATATATATATATATATATATATATATGTATGATATATATATATATATATATATATATATATATATATATATATATATATATATATATATATATATATATATATATATATATACATATATAGAAAATATTGAAAGCTTGTTCATCAAATTATATTTGTTAACAATATTTTGAACTGAATAAAATAAAAATATTAATTCTATTTAAATCTATTCATTCAATTAAATCTATTTTTAATCATGGTGCATAATTATAACCTTGCCAACTAAATTAAAATTAAAAATATCAAAGAACTCCTTGAAAATCAAATTTATTCAATTAAATAATAATTAAATGTAAGCTAAAAAAATAAAAAGAAAAGAAAACTCAACTACAATCTCTGACAAAGAAAAAAGCAAGATTGAAGCCTGCATATCATTGCATTAATCAAATAGGACAAACTGACAAATTAACTGCTTGTAAACTGAGATTCTTACCACGTTTAATCAATAATTTCATAAAAAATCAAGCAAATTATTGCACAAAGTATTGAAGTGTTAAAAGATCAATGCTTACAGCTTGCCAACAGCAATGAATTGTGCATGCTCTTTTTTTTTTTGGAAATTGTGCAATCTTCAATGAACAAAAATTATAACCAGCTTTATTAATACTAAATTAAATGCTGAAGGATATCAAAGTTTGTTGGATGATCATTTGAATGATATTTCATGAAAATTTGATAACCCAAACTTTCACTTTTCAGCAAGATGAAAAACAAAAATTTAGGTTACCAAATTTTTATGATATATTATTTAAAAGATTTAATTCACAGGGTGAATTAAAATACTCACCAAAAATGGTTTACCAAAAAAAAATATAAAATACTCTATGGTTCATATATAAATATGGTTCATATATAAATATAAAATACTCTATGGTTCTATGGTACTCTATGGTTCACCATATAAAATACTCTATGGTTCACCAGTAAAAATATTCAATTATTAGATTAGCCAGCCTAGTTGATTAGCTAACCTGAGTTGAATCCCATTGAAAATATTTAGAACATCTTAGCTAGACGTTTATGCAGAAGGGAAACAATATTTAATTGTCAATGAATAAAGGCAATGGTGCATGTTTGGAAAAAATCTTATGCTGATCTCAAAAAACATTCAAAAAACATGCTAAATCAAATAATTGAGGTTACAACAATAAAACAAATTTAACTAAAAATACAATACATCATTAAACTTTGTTGAATAAAATTGAAATGAGATTATAACTTTGCACCATCATTTTACTAAAACTTTCAAATCAATTGACAAAACGAAATCAGACAGTATTACAAATGAATCAAATAAGATATAAGCATCTGAATAAATTAGAAATTTTCTTTTAATTATATGCAAGATCTTGAACTTTCAGTATATTATATATAATACCATTAAATTAGATTTTTCTGTTACACTAAATATAAATACTATAATTTAGGAAACTGATATACTAAATTTAAGAAGCTAATTTAAAATTTATGAAATTTAGAAAGCTAATTTAAAATAAAATTTATATGAAATTACTGGATCATTATCATGGCATCCACTTGGATTAGCATCTGAAACTAATAAGCCAGCAGCATGGCAGTTGCAACTTTTGCATTCTGGAAAGCTGTAGAAACCTACTTGACATTTTTCACATTGTTGACCATCAAAATTTGGAATACATGGACACTGTCCATCATAGCTACGGCAAGCTGACGTATAAGAGCTTCTTTCATCACATGAACAATCTAGAAAAAATTTAAAAGACTTTCAAAGGTTATTTGAAGATGCATTTTTTATATAATAATCTTTTAGATAATGGTTTTGTTTAAAACGCAAATTTTTGAAATTGTGAAGTTTAAATGATATCTTTGGTAGATTTAATTATATAAATATAAGTGATAAGTGCATACTACTATATACTAAAACTGCTAAGAAGGAACACTAGTTATAAAGACAATTTCAAATTAAAAAAAAAAAGCACATATGTGCTTATAAAATAGAAATTAAAAACAACTTTTAAATAATTGTCTCTCTTTTTTTTTTTTTTGTTAATAAAAATACATAGTTTTAATGAAATTCAAACAACTCACTTACTTGAATTGTCAAGAGAAAAAAAAAAGCATATAAATCATAAACATTAAAAATCAGAAATAGCAGCCGTCTAGGAAGTCTGATGCTCTATACTGCTCCCAGATAAAGAGTTTAGGTTGAAGTTGAAGGTACCTGGGATTTTTTTTTGCAGAAATATCAGGAAGACATACTCAAATAACTGTAGCCAAAAATGAAAATTTTACTGCTCCTAAATTAAAATTTCATGATTTTTTGTTTTTTTTTATTGGTAAATAATTATGTACTGAAACTTTGTTGTTAAATTTCAAAATATAACAAGAATACATTTATTTTTTAGAATTATATATGTTATATATATGTAAATATATGTTATATACATGTTATATATATATATATATATATATATATATATATATATATATATATATATATATATATATATATATATATATATATATATATATATATATATATATATATATATATATATATATATATATGTCAACATATATATTTAAAATTTAAAATGTGTGTATAAAAAATTTCATATATTTTAGCAGGAAAAAAGTAAATGAATCAGAAAAGAAATCATTAGGAGTGCAAAGGTATAATCTGTTTTGGATGTTGCAACAAGAACAAACAATGTATACCCCTAAATAATCCAGCTCAAATTGTTTTAAAAAATCAAGTAAGGAAGCATATAGATAAAGGATTTGATGTTAAAATGAACTTCTTTTTAACTGAAATGTGTCCGAAGTGCAAGTAACATAGAGATATAAGGGAGCACATTGACCCCATTATTCCCCAGGAAAAACAAGTAGTCCAAATTCAAGTACTTATACTAAATGTGTACCTCAATGTGTGAAGTTTTTTTCAATATATAGGAAAAGGTATTATTATATTAGACACCCCTGCAGTAGAAACTTAAAACTTAGAAAAAAACTGCTAAAAACTTAGAAAAAATTATTATGTCAAAAGATAAAAACAATTATTGCGGATGAAAAACAGGTTAGGGTTAAATTACCAACATGTGGAACATCATTATACCTACACCTTGGAGTGATTATCTCTCCAAAAAAGATTAATTTATACAGTATTTAATATCAAAAAAATATATGATCTGCCTAAATGTATTATAAAAATATGTTCACTGAAATAAGAAAAAATGTTGGTCGATCAGGATTTGAAACTAATGTGGAGACAATAAATAACGTGGAGATAATAGTATGAATAGAAAATTTAGTAAAGTTTTATTGCATTCAGCAGTTGACATTTCAGCAAAGTCTTAAACAGGTTCAAAAAGATGTAGTATATGTGGAAGATATACCTATGCTTATTTATGAAATATGCAAACAAAGAGATATTGTTATCCAAGAATCAATTGAGGATTGGTATTAAAGGAGGTCAAAGGTCAATTAAATTAAACTTCAATCAGAAAAACTTGAGGATAAATTAAGTAATCAAAAAGACTTGGGTGTAAACAAAGTTATTTTATTGGCAATTGTCCTCAAGAAAGCAGCTAAAATTTTGTCTAAATTCCTTCCTCAAATTGCATGAATGAAAGTACTTTTTTGCATCAGATTCTAACAGATACTGAGATTATCTGCGCATGGTAGGAAATATGCATGTGCTTATTGTATTGGTGCAAAAAACAAATTAGGAGAACTTAGAACCTTTGGTAGTTTATTCCATCAGTCACAACGACTTGTTGATGCAGGGGAAACCACACAAGCCGATCAGAACTTTTTTAATGTCATAAACCCATGTCTTTTTGATGAGAGCCCGGACAGCCTGGTATTGGATGTTATACCTCCACCAGAGCGGTATCTCTATGAGCATATTACCACACAAGTATCAAGAGTAATATTTTCAAATAAGACCTTAACTAAGAAGTTGAGTAACAGTTTTTTCTTAAAAGAAAAAACTGTTACTCAGCATGGCTATAATGGTGGAGGACTAGATGGACCTAAATGTCAAAAAGTTCTAAGATCATTAAATGAGATGATAAACGTAGCATCGTTAAAGTACCACAAGTGTATTAACATATCAAAGCAGGTAAATATTAATAAATAAAATATTATTAACATACTTAAAAATCTTAATGAGATACATCATTTTATTTGTAGTGACTGAGATTTGTTTTGGAATAACATTAGATTCGTCTTATAGTTAAAAAATTAGAGCTTTCATTAACTCCATGGACTACATGAACAATCATGTTGAAGAAAGGTTTAACATCAGTATGTCACTTGGATGGAAGTACCATATCATTAAATATCACTTGAATCATTATTTTGATCGCCATCTGATCACTCCGTCTGACATCAGAACAAACCTTAGAAGCTGTTCACAAGAATATTAATTAGACTATCAAGAGGTTTAGTGTCTCAGAAAGTAATTCTTCTCATGGAATAAAACTGAGAAGAATGACTGAAACAGCTCAATGAGAGTATAAAGGTTATGAACTGGATAACAGTTAGTTAAGATGAAGAACTTGTATATATATAAGCTATTATAATTTCCTCATAAATATCCTTTTAATCTCTTTTTTTTTCCCTATTTTTTTATATTTATGTTAGAGATATGAGAAATTTTGATGAGACAACTATAATAGTATACTTTTAAACTATTAAAAATATTTGGACTATTGTTTAAATTTAAATTAAAAAAAATTTTTTTTTTTCGGCATTTTAAATTTAATATCAAAATTTAATGAAACAATTAAAAAAAAAACATTAATACATTAATACTGGAGTGGAATAGGAAAACAATAAAGGGGAAGGGTGCTAAAAATATTTTTCAAATTTTATTAAACTAATTTTAATTGCTTCAATATTTTCTAACCTTCTAGGGTAAAATGTTGTTAAATGGAAACACATATAATCGTTATTATTTAGTAATATTAATTTTGCAGTGGTTTTTTGTTGATTTGGCGTCATTTACTATCAAGATTAAACTTGATAGTAGCAAATAACAGATTTAAAGGTTGATGAGCAGGGGGGGGGTGAGCTGTAATACCAAAGCATCCTACATTTTTTAAAGTGAGTAGGTTGATACCCATAAGCTCCACCTGTTCCGCCAGCCCTACATTTATACATTATCATTATAATTTTAAATTTTAAGATTACTTCTGCTCCATAGGGTCTATTTAAGCTATCTGCAGCACTAAAGACAACAAGGTTATGACGGTAAAAATATTATCACTATTAAAAATTGAAAAAATTATCAATTTTTTAATTTAGTAGCAGCTCCAATTTTAATTTTTGTTTAGCAATAATCTACTAAAGCCACCTAATAATTCTGTGAAGAAAAAATCCAGGTACCTTCACCTTCAACCTAAATCCCCTATCTGGGAGCAGTGTCTAGCTACCTTGCAGCAAGGCTGGACAATAACCTTGTGTCCACCATGGTGTTCACCAAGGGGCTTGTCACAGCTTATGGCAAGCCTGCCAGGTCACTTCATATGTGTAGAAAAAAAAAAGATAAAGAAATATTAAATGTTAGAAGTAAAAGAAAACAGAGCTCCAATAGATAGATTTATCTCTGTTGATCCAAGAGTGGCTCCTCACAGTGAGGGAAAAAAAAAAAGAGACTTTCTTTTCCCTTACTTACAAGTTTTTCCCGCAGTTACAAGTTTTTCAAAAGAAGAAAGGGAGAAAATGAACACCTACTAAGCTCAAGTGTGGTTTTCTTTTTAATGCTATTGCTAATAAATTTTTTCATGTCATGTGTATATGTTATCATACAAGTTATTTTTAAAGAAGTAAATAGCAAAAAGATTTAGTGAACCATAGGAATGTATAGAATGATACTGGCGCTTCAGTTTGACAGGTGCTTAGACAAATCATGAAGGCAGAAACATTATTAACTTTATTTATATTGTTTTTTCCTGCATCAAGGATATTGGAGAGAACAATATTCTTTGAATTGTTACTGGTTATGCTGCAACTAATTTTGCAGCTGTGCAGTTGCTAAATATAACTCATCTCTGCAGATATTTGATTTCTTTGATTTCTCAAAAAAAAAATTAAGGTTGATGTTCACTTCGAATGAGTTTATTAATTGTAATTTGTTAAAAACTTTGAAGAAAATAAAACTTCTGGTGTTCTTAATTTCTGTTTTTCCTATTACAAGTTACATTTACAGTCAAAATATTTATATCTTTGATAAAGTTACTAACATTTGTTAATAGGATAGTAAAAAGAGTCACCAATAGATTTATTTATAGTGGGTGTCAATTATTGAAGGAAGTCAAGAAGGAGATAAAAACTTTCAATTGTGCCAAGATTTAAAGTTTCTCCTTCGGAAGCCTTTTATAAATAATGTTGATCACTATGTTAATAAAAAACTTGACAAAACTCTTCAAATTTTCATCCACATCCAGAGACTCAATCTCATATTTTAACCATGATAATAGAATATCAAGATGCTATTTGATGCTTTAGTAAATCTGGAGATTAAGTAAGATAAGTAAGATTAAATTCTCAACTTTTAGCTCATCAAGATATGAATGAAACTGGAGTTCATTTGAAATGCTAATACATTGATTTATTGATTAATTTTAATATATAGGTAATATTCCACAAGCTTATAAAGCAATAAGATGTTTTTTAACCTGATTCTGTCACTGTAGGAGGCTATGTAGCAAAAGTCTACAATTGTAGACCAGCATCATAACTAAAACCAACTTAAAAGAATGTGATGCTTTTGCTTCTCTGCCCAAAAGGTCCATCTGCATATTTTAACTGGCTTCAAAGAGACATAAATTTTTTATTGATAACATTAAATATTTAAAAACTTATTTATTCTATATGATAACTCTAGTTCTGGTCATTTTGAAAAAAATGAAATGGAAGAAGTAAAAAGAAATAGTGACAATATTGTGAACAACTATAGTAAAAAAAATTATTTTCTTTATATTATTTAAAAAACTTCATAATACTTTAAAAACTCTTGTGTATTTAGTAACCTTTCTTAGTAACTTTGTGTATTAAAATTCATGTATTAAAAATATTTAAACACAAAAAAAAAGTAATGAAATTATAGTTGTATATATTTATTTTTCTTTCTTTTTAATTTTTTGTGACAATTAAAATTATAAGAAACAAAGATTAATAATAGCAAAAAAAAAAATTATACAAATGTTTATAAATTTTTTTCAGACACATCTGCATATTAAATTAGACACATCTTCGTATTTTGAGAAATACGCAGATGTGTCTTGAGATTTTCTCAAACTTTAAGCATGTCCCCTTCATATCTCATCATTCAAAGTGTGCTTTTTGAATTCTGCATCGAAAAGGCATTCAAATTATTTTCATATATTATCTATTCTTATTTCTCATTTTATTGAGAAATTTTTTTTTTTAATGTGAAGAAAAGCAATTCATTTCGGAAATTAAAATCGTGGTATTTCAAGAATTGCTCAACATTTTTAGCTGAACTTTTGCTATTTTTTTATAAATAAGAGGTTCGTCAAAGTTTGAAACAAAAAGAAAATTAAATGGCTCAACGGACTGGGTGATTTGATAAAGAAAATTGGGTTGGTATATTGGTATTTGTATGGTAGTTTGAGGTGCCTGAAACTACCATACAAACACCAGTATACAAATACAATATACCATATAAAATACATCTTATGGTACATTAAACTCTTTATAATACATTGACAAAGCTCTTATGGCAAATTAGCACATTGGGATATGGTACTTTATTACTAGTATGTACATTGGTATTTTTCATTAGTTTGGTACACTAGTAATGGTATGGTATAGTTTGGGTAAAAAAATAACAGTATATTATTTGGTACTTTAGTCACTATATATACATTAGTCTAAATTAATTTATTTAATGATAGTCTATAATACTATTTAATTATATTAAAGTATTATGTTATAGATATTTCTTAAAGCCATACATGAAAAATATTTTCAAACCTTTACATGAAGGAAACCCCCAATAACCAACTTTGCATTCATCGCATTTTGCCCCACTAAAATTCTGATGACACTTGCAATAACCAAATCTGTCGCATTCGGCATTCAATGATCCCAAAATGAAACAATTGCATGCTAAAAATTTATTTAAGTATTTATATCTAATAATATTTATATCTAATATTTATATCTGATGTATTATTGTACTTACACCTACTCATTCCTAAAATTTTTGACGCAAAGCTTTTGAAAAAAACGTAAATGTTAAAAAAATATTCTGAAGAGAATTACGATAGAAAGTTTTTATAATTAATTTTATTTTATTTTTTGTTAAATACTGTATTAAACTTACGTTTTTTAACACTTTCTAATGTTTTGATTGGTTTAACCTTATACACAATAAGAAAGTTTAACAAATATAAACTTTATAATTTGAGTCTAGTTCATCTTAAAAAAATTCTGTTTATCTCAATAAAATCCCTTTACAAATTTACTTAGCACACTGCTTTAAGTTATCCAATGTTGACCAAATCTTTAACATTGACCAAATCATGCTAAATCTTCTTTAAAAAAACTTTGTGTTTAACGCGCGCAAATGAGTAACTGAATTTATTCGTGAATAATAAACTTAAGTATGTTTTATAGTCTAGATCTATAAAAGATCTAGACTATAAAACATACTTAAGTCTAGATTTATGAACGGTATTGTTTTCAATAAGTCATCTACCCTTTCTCTTCTAGGATTAACTCTTATTTCCGATTTTTCTTGGAAACCATATATCACATTCATTGCAAAATTAGCATATGCTAAGTTTGCATCTCTTTATCGTGCTCGCCACTTTCCTACTCTGGATTCTATTCTTTATCTCTATAAATCTAAAATCCGTCCTTCTATAGAATACTTTTGCCATATCTGGAGCCAACCTTCCTTTCTCTTTTAGACAAGGTGCAAAAACACATTGTAAACTGCTCTTGCAGCCAACTTTCAATCATTGTCACATTGTCGTAATGTTGCTTCTCTTTCTCTTTTCAATAAATGCTATAATGGGTACTGCTCTAAAGAGCTAGTGTTTCTTGTGCTACCTACTAAAATTCGTTCTCGTGTTACTTGTCATTCATTTAAGTCTTATCCTCTTACTGTGACTGCTTCTAAGTGCTCCAAAAATTCTTATTTGTCTAGTTTTTTTCCTCGAACATCAGTTTTTTGGAATTTGCTCCCATCATCTTGTTTTACTGATTCATATAACTTGCAATCTTTTAAGTTGTCTGTTAATTGTTATCTTAATTTATAAACTTTACCTTTTCTCTTCCATTTCTTTTCTCTTTGAAAAAATTAAAAATTTCAATAAAATTACATTTTATGATATTATATTATTAAAATAGCTCCAATTGAAAAAGCAAGTAATTATAATTAAAGGCTTTTGTAATTAAAACTTGAATGAAAGAGTTCAATACTTGGAAAATTGTTTTTTTTGTTGTTATTGTTATGTAATTCAAAATTAAACAAAAAATTGTTTTACTGTTTGTAAAAAAAGATTATATTTAAATTACTAAATGGGTGTGTCTATTGTTTCACTTTGATTATGTTGTACTTTACGTACTAAATTAAAAACATAGCTGTAAAAACTAATGTATTTTGAAGTTCTTTTGTTTTTAAAATAGTTTGCTTAATTAAGAACCGTTTTTTAAAGTTTTATATATAATATATATATATATATATATATATATATATATATATATATATATATATATATATATATATATATATATATATATATATATATATTATATATATATATATATATATATATATATATATATATATATATAATATATATATTATATATTATATATATATATATATATATATATATATATATATATATATATATATATATATATATATATATATATATATATATTATATATATATTATATAGATATATATATATATACATATATATATATATATATATATATATATATATATATATATATATATATATATATATATATATATATATATATATATATATATATATATATATATATATATATATATATATATATATATAATATATATTATATATTTTAAATACGCATTTAAAATAAAGTATTTTAAAATATTTTTTGATGCGCATTAAAAATAAAATATCGCTTCAACCTATCAACCTAAAAAACAATATTAAACTTAACAAAACATTAATAAATTTTGCTGTTTTAAAAAAAATATTGGAAATAAAATTACACTATAATAATAATAATAATAATAATAATAATAATAATAATAATAATAATAATAATAATAATATATAAATACACTTTTAAATTAAAACTTAATTTATTCTTATTTATAATTAACTATTTTTAAAAAAATAACTTGATTTCAACGTTAAATTTAATTTAAATTTAAACAATTTTTATTATAAGCAATTTATAAAAAATTAAAACAGAAACTATGTCAATTTTTTAATTTTTGTGCAAATCTATATTAATATTAATTAATGTATCATATTATATAAATATTAATTAATGTATCAATAACTATTAACTACTAATTACTAATTGACATATTGCTAATTAATAGTTATTGATTTGTTATTATTGTTATTGAGTTATTATTGCTATTTTTTAAATTATTTATTATTGTTATTATTATTAATTTGTCGATCAATAGAAATAAAATATTTTTGGTGTAAAAATAGGATGTTTAAGATTTATTATCAAATTGATAATTTTTCATCATTAACGCTAATTTTATCACAGATAATCACTTATAACATACCAAAATAAATATAATTTGTTCACTCACGCTGGCATCTTGGGAAACCGTAGAAACCTTTTTTACACTTGTTACAAGTTCTGCCAACAACACCTTCTTTACAAGCACACTGACCCCCAATTTTGTTACATGAAGAAAACTTTGAACCAAGTTTATCACATTCACATCTGTATGTTTTTCCAGTAAATTCAGTTGTAAGTGTAAACTGAGCATCTGCGCAGAAGGGGGTTTGGGGTTGAATGTGAGGAATATTGTTAGAATCAACACATAACTTTTCAAATTTCTCTTTAAATTCAGTTCTTTTTAAAACAAGAAGATCATCATCAAAATAAGATTCATGAACAAAAAACATAGAACTCTAAAAAAAAATTAAAACATTTAACTTTTTTTACAAAAGTATCAAAATTATTTATGAAGAAAAAATTTAAATGGTAAAATTTTAAGAAGCTGTAATAAACTTTTTTTAAGGAAAACATGTTTTTCTTATTTATGAATCAAATGGGTAATTTAGAGAGGCAGAATAAATTCTTGTGGATGAACCAGTAAAAAAAAAAAAAAAAAACTTATTATAGATTTTAAATAGTATATATTAAAATAGTAATTTGTGGATCAAATTACTATTTTAATATATACTATTTAAAATGGTAAAAGCTCTTGTCAACATGTTTAACATTAACAATATGTATATAAATAAAGAGGTCCTGAACTTTTTAAAAAACATCTATTTTGGTTAAAGACATAAAGGTAAAATGTGAAGGAAAAAAAAAACTGAATATGAAAAGTTTTCATTCGAAATAACTACTTAGGTGCATCTGCTTATAGATCTGTAATAAGAAAATCAAAGATTATTTTAAGCTCTTCCTTAAATTCAAAATGTTGGAAAGGTTACAAGTTGCATAAGATAATTATTTTTAAGGAAGTCAAGGAATAATTTTCTCTGATATTTTGTCATCTGTTGATGCTTCATCAATTTTGGATATTGCCTCAAATAAATCAAGTCACCAAGCAACTTACTTTGCTGCGTTACAAATCCAGTCAGCAAGTTTTTGGAGTTTTTTTCAAGTGAGTTTGCATTTTTTAACCAGATTCTTAAATTTCATACTTTAAAGCCATTATGGAATAATGGCTTTAAAGTATGAAATAACTGCTGATCAATTGAGAAAGATTTTGCAGAATAGTGTTTTATTTTGCAGAATAGTGTTTTTGCAGAATAGCGTTATAAAAATATATGAATGTTTTTACTTAAACTGATTAAGCCCAAAACTAGATCTCAAGTTCAATGTTTTCAACAACTTTTTCAAATTTCTATGTTATTGGAATCACCAGTTTGTATATTTTCTAGAATGTATATTTTCTAGAATGGAATATTAAAGAAAGATTTAACTACGGTATCAACTGCATGTTTCCACTTTACCCAACTTGTATCAAAAAGTCAAAATGTATTATCTCATATGTCAAGCATTTCTAATGCTTTTAGGAAACATAAACAACTTTTCAGCTGCAGCAAAAAAACAAATTGCATAATCTTATTAATGAGAAGAACAAAGATATAAAAACTAATATAAAAAAGTATATACAACTATAAAGTAAAAAAATTTTCTTTTTATAATTTTTCTTAAAACTTTATTCATTAAAATAAACAAACCAAAAACTTACAATCCAAATTTCCTTGCCATCAGGAATTGAAATTTTAAGATCAATAACTCCAGAAAGATTACCCACGGCAACAAAACCTCTACAACCAGCTATTGATAAACAAGAATGAACGTTTGTATTAAAAACAAACAAATTATTTGAGTTATCGATAATAGTTATTGTAACTTTAAATGTTGAAAACTTTTGTGAATATTGAAAAATAAAGAAATAGGTCTCTACATCTTGGCCTAATATTGCACTTCCAAAAAAATTTACCTAAAAAAATTAACATCAATTTAACAAATTTAATAGTTAACAAAATTTTTGTTATATTTAATTTTTTTTAAATAATTATATTTTTGTATTTATATATCACAAAACCTGAAGATTTTATAATGCAACATTTTATTTTACACAATTAAAACTTAATTACTCTTACTTTTTCAATCAAATGAAAGGGAAAACTTTGATTTGACTTCCCAGTAGGCTGTATTGTGATTGAGTTTTTCAAATTTTTAAAAGCTACTTTATCTAAACACTTCCTTTCTTTCATGTAACAGTATTCAGTAGGAACAATGTATTCTACTGACCATACGGCTTTAGGGATTAATGTAACAAAATCCTACGTTTAAAATCAAATTTAGGTTTAAATTATAATGAAATGTAAAGTTATAAAGCAAAATAAAAAATGTTATTTCAAATGTTATCCATGTTAATCTGCAATAACAAATTAATTTGCATTAGCCTAAAATTTGCCTTATTGTCATTTATATTTATTTATTAAGATTTGCCTTATTCTTATCATATTTTTTTATCAAGATTTAGTCAATAGCGTAGGGTTTTACATAATTTATTTTTCCCATATCAATCCCATAATGACTTGTGTAATTAGAAAATTTTCTTTTTTTGGCAAAAAAACAGTTCTATTTTTTGCCATGTAACCTTACACTGTCAACTTTTCTTTATCAAAATTGTTGACAACTACTAGATCCCTTATCTATACAAGGTCTGGATCTTACTAAACAAAAATAAATTCAAACATTATATTTTAAATGCTGTTCATATCAAAATTTCCTATTTTTGAAATTGTAGGTTAATAGAGTTTAAACTATCAAATGTGTCTAAAAAAAAATTGGTATTAGAAACTCGTTATTTGAAACTGATATTTATGCTGAAATATTTAAGGTAAAAACTAGAAACTGAAACTGAATGGAAACTAAAGTAGACTGGAAACTGTTTTAAATTCTAAACTTGCTAACCAAAATCAAATCTTTAAAAAAAATTCCCAAAAGTCTTTATTTTTGACTTCTTCTAAATAATTTAATCAGCCAATTTACGTTCAACAGAACTGGCCATAATAATACAATTACTAAAAACTATTTTTTAATAAAAACATTTTTTAATAATACTGTAGTAAAGCAAGTGATACATAAAGTAAATATTTAAAATAAATATAAATATTTTTATGAATTTTATATTTAAAAATTTCATAACTTAAATTAAAAAAACTTAATGTGAATTAAAACCTAAGAGATATATAATTAAAACAATTAAATAAAATAAAACTGGAGCTAAAAATTGAAACTAAAAAAATGGAAGAAAAAATAACACTGCTTACAATAGCTATGTTGCCACGGAGATTACCCAGAAAAGTTATTTCAACACTTTTATTAGCCAACAATTTTAAAGTTACTGGATATCCGTCAGCATTAAGAACAACAAGACGACATAAAAAAATGTATGAACATGGAACTGCTTCCAAGTAACCTCTGAAGCCAGTATCATCTTAAAAGAAATAGACAAAAAGTGATATTAGCATCCATCAACTTGTTTAAGCTTCTCAAACCAATTATTATATTCTTCTTAGCTAAACTATCAAAACAAATTTCTTCTATTTCTTTTAAAATTTTAAATCATTTACATTGGTACTCATTTAACATTTATATTATAAATTATTTTTTTTAACAATAATATTTATAATATAAAAATTATTACAAACTGATTCTGTATTTCCTTAAATGCTAAAATAGATCTTGCTAAAATATTCTACAAAATATGTAAAATTGTTATAACAAATTTTTTCAACAAACTGTGTGTAAACTATTGTAAACAATTCAACAAACTAAGTAACAATCTTATACAGTTAAAAAAGTAGCAATATTTTATACAGTTAAAAAAGTAGCAATATTTTATACAGTTAAAAAAGTAGCAATATTTTATACAGTTAAAAAAGTAGCAATATTTTATACAGTTAAAAAAGTAGCAATATTTTATACAGTTAAAAAAGTTTTTACAGCATATTAAATGTTTTTTTAATGCGTTATTTAAATTATAATTTTTTAAAAAGATGCAAAAAGAATATAATTCCATTTCTCATTTTCAATATAAACTATGATTGATGAATTAAATCATTAAAAAAAAACTGTCAAAACACTTGAATGTTTTTTAAATTCATGCATAACTCGTTAACAGTCCATGCCATAATATTACGCAAACTAAAAGTGGTTTCTAAATATCCATGCCGTAATATTACGGTTTTGTGCATCACTTTATATTTCCTTCTTGTTCATCAGTAATTATACATCTACTTGTCACAAAAGTTATTACTAAATAATTACAGAGCTTTTGTTTCAATAATTGTCTTTTAAATGTGTTCAATTTAATTTTAAATATGACAAATAAGGAAGTTCTTTCAGTGCAAAAATAATTATCAAAAAGTAAATATTTACTCACAAAAAGATAGAATTTTTTACATTTAATGAATCAATAATGAAAATATATGTTCAATGATTGATTATTGAAAATGATAATAAAAGATTAATGCTTAAAGGTGGTGTGCAGTATGTTACAAACACAATATTCAAAAAGGTTCAGGACATGAATATGTAGAATGTGATGTAGGACTTTTTGCAGCTCCTTGTTTTTTACAATTATCATACAAAAAGTGAATAGTAGTAAACTCATTTTTAAAATTTTATGTTTATGTAGTATGGTTTATATATTCTTAAGAATGAATAATAACATTTTGTAGTGTTTACTAATGTTAGAAATAGTGAAAAACATTTTTTATTCTATTGGTTAAAAAACATGATGAATTAAAAAAAAAGCTGGACTAATCGCGACTGTTTGTGAAAAAAACACGGGGCTGTAAAAGGAATAGGAGAATGTGTAAATAAGAGGAGTATATATATATATATATATATATATATATATATATATATATATATATATATATATATACATATATATATATATATATATATATATATATATATATATATATATATATATATATATATATATATATATATATATATAATCATTATGAATTTTGATCCTAAAATAAATAGATAATGTTTTTAAGATAATAAATTTAAAAATTTTTAACAGAGATTTTCTAATCACCTTCATAGACATCTACAAAATGAGTATGTTCATCTGTGTTAAAGTAGGTCACAACCAAAAAATATTCATCTGCCTTTTGCACAGCAATGTTCATTGTTAATGTTATCTATTTAAAATAAATAAGAAGAAAGAAAATATAAAAATGCATAAAAACAAAAAAGGTGTTCAGAAAAAAATTTGAAATTGGATTTTTTTTTTTGGTCAAATAAGCAAAAAACAAAAAAAAAAAAAACAACCAACAACTCAAAATGTCACATCCTTAATACTGTGATATTTTATCCAGAAAAAAAGTCTCAAAATAAAAAAAACATTGCCCATCTCAAGTTAATGAGTTCCAGGTTATCTATTTAGGCAAATTACAATGACTTTTATTTCAACTAAAAAGTTATTTTTCTTTTTAAACATTTAATTTAAGAAAATTGTAAATGGTGAGGTCAAATGACTACAAGATTTTATGTGAAATTTATACAATACAATATGTTATTACCTGCTTGCGACTTATAACAGCCATATCGCCCATTGATATAAGGTGAAATAAAGTGCTAGAATCATTCAATGTTTCTGTTTTTGATAAATTTGTATTTCCAATCTTTTTAACATAACCATTTTCAGCTTGAAAATGTTGAAGTTCCAAATCTATGTATTTGTACAACATACATTCTTTTGAAAGGTGCATTTTTATTGAACAAGGTAACACTGCATCTGGTTGCATATCACCCCCTGTGTAATAATCTTCAGGAATAATTACTAAATAATCCTTAACAATAAAAATATTATTTTTAAACTTGCTATTAATTATAAATTTATGTAGTAAATTTAAGTAAGTTTTTATAGTATATTTTATATCATTTCAAAAATTTGAAATGATATAAAATATACTATATGATATAAAAATAATATATAAAAAATATAAATCAAAACTAAGTTAATTAAAATCCAAATTAAAATATAGTGTACAAGAAAAAAATAAAAAAACTGCATAAAAAAAAATACTACATATTATATAGATATGTTAAAAATGACGAATCTTCAAAAACTTAATTTTTTTCTAAAATTTGTATTAAAAGTTAATATATAGCTATTTTTATGTATATATATAGTTTATACAAATTCTACTCACCACAAGAACGGTTTTAAAAAAACTAAAATCCATGTCAATAACCCATGTGCCAGCTGTCAAAAAAAAAATTTTTGTTTGATTACTATTCCACAGTGAGGCAAAGGTTGGCTCAGTACTTGAATGAAAATTGGCTGTGGCACCATATGACATTGGGTTTTCTAAAAAACGTCTTTAATTAAAATATATAATTTTACGTTTGTAAAAAATAAAAATTTTTTATCGAAAATCACAAATAAAAAATACCTTTTCTTGTTATATCGATGAACAATATTGCTGACTCGGTATAATTAAGTTTGTATTGAACAAGTATTTGATACTCTTTGGAAACTGGTACAACAATATGAAGTCTTATTGCATGCAACTAAGAAAGATAAAAAGAATTTTTTACTTGTTTTTTTTTACTTAAATTTTACTATGGGATCAACTCATTAAAATTATTGTATAAACGTAACCACTTGAATGTAAATTAACTTTTTCATCAAGTTTAGATCATCATTAAATTTTTAGATGTTACTTAATTTTTTAGATTTAAATAATTTTTGATTTAATTAGAGTGGAAACAATATAAAAGAATGAATTGAATAGAATTGCACTTATAAATAAGAACATCATTTTATGTTAGATACTATTCAGATAGGCAAATACTTTCCTTCTTCAACTTTATCATAAAAATATTAGGAGTCATTAAAAATTATTAAAAAGATTTAAATTTAGAAAATGTCATAATTAAAATGATGATTGAATAAATCCTTCATTTGCAGAATTTATTTAAATATGTAAATTGTTTTTTTTTTTAGCAATAAGATTCAATAAGTTGCTTGATAATCTATTAATAATTTAGTGAAACCGTGATTACTACTTAAACAATAATTATTAGTAATAATTATAAACAAACAAAAAAAAAATTTGTTTGGTTTAAGTGGTTTGTCCTTTAGTGGTTGGCCACATTGAATGATAATGGCTCCTTTGAAAGAATAACCAATTATTAGTTTCTATGAGGTATGACTTTCACAAAGCCACGCCTCTTTAAAAACTTGTAAAGCAATACTTTTACAGCAATAGGGACGTCTATGAAGTAGATGGAAGTCTATGAAATACTTTCATAGCAATGGGGACATTTTGAGTCTATGAAATACTTTCATAGAAAAAGGGACATTTTGAGTCTATGAAATACTTTCATAACGATGGGGACATTTTGAGTCAAATATATGTAAGTATAATCAACAGTACAGTTATTTATTAGTCTGATTCAGACCCAGTTACTCAAATTAAATTAATATTTTTTCTTTGCTGTATTTTTTATTGCTATTTTTTAGAACATCACTGAAGCTGTTTAGCTAACTTTTTTTGTGTATGAAAATTATGAACTCCTTCTAACATAACCTTACTTTACTTATTTTAGCCTTTATTTAACCTAATAAACAGCAAGCAATAATTACACTAAAAAAAAAATAATTAAGTTTATTACTAATAAACTTTATTAGTAGTTTACAAATGAAAAATTTGCAAATAAAAACTAATATAGTCTTTCCAATTAAAAAATATAAAAATTACAAAAAACAAAATTTTTTATTTTCAAATTCAAAAATGGCTAAAACTGAATTCACTCTCTATAAGAATAGAGCAAATCCATGGAAGACAACTTCCATTCAATCAACCAATCAAAATATTTAAGGTTTTTTTCCCCAGCCATTGCAAGTTCACAAAAAAACAAAAGTTAATAAGCATAAACAACTTAAAAAACTGCAAATTGTATGACTCAAGAAAACATGAAGATAAAAAAGAATTTCAAGTCAACAATATTCAATAAAAAAACTTGAAGAATGTTCAAAATTTTTTTTGACATAATGGAACAGTAAAAGAAAACAGTAAATAAATACAACGTTGTTGACAAGTCTTGACATGTCATACAAGCATAGTATTTGAACAGCAATCAGTATTTATAGAAAGAAAAAGATGCAACCTTGCAACAATGGAAAAGATATCATTTATCATACTATTTTGGACCAAAATGAGAGAGGGTCTCAGAAAAACCAGTCCAAATACACCAACAATGTTCCATACAAAGATGAAAAAAAGGTATAGCATCTTTATGTAAAATTCTATTTAAGTTAATGGATGAATCTATTATATTATGTAAAATTTGGCCTTTTAAGATGTTCCAATGTTCCATACATAGATGAAAAAAGGGAAGAGAATAGAAGCAGGAGTGAGTAATAGCAAGCACAATTAAGAGAGATAACTTAAACAATTAATGACTTTGCAACAAATTGTATATACATATTTTCTATAAGAAGCTAGCAGTGAATGATAATTATAGAAAAATAGTAGAAAGTATTTTTCCTCGTCAATATATGAATATAACAATATTGCAATAATTAATAACAGTTAAAAACTGTTTGGGTTGAAATTAACCACTGCAAGATTCAAAACCTGTTCTGCCTTAATTGCAACCAAAAAGTGATGACATTTTGTGAAGACTGGAGTATACAGTTTTGTCATCAGCAAACAGAGTCATTGTCATCAGCAAACAGAGCCGCAAGATAAGAGTAAGATAAATATTATAAACAACACACAACCATAAATGGAACAATGTGGTACTCCAGAGAATACTGAAAATGTTGTTAATCAAGGGCAATTTAAATAATGTAGTTAAAAAAATGATTTTAAAACTTTTTTAAAAACACCATATGAAGCTATGGATATGACCAGCATGTTACTATGGATACTTACCAGCATGTCAGACTTAATCAAAAACCTTTGAAGTATAAAGATCAATAGCTCATACCTCAACATTTTTATGTAATGCTCTACAACAAAAATTTTCATTTATAATTGTTAACAGTAATAGTAGATTAAAATCCATATTGATTATTAGAGAGTAAGTTACTAGACTCAAGATAAAATATTAGAAGTTTGTTAATCAAAGATTTAATAGTAAGAAGTCTGATTGGGAGATGAACTCTGATGGGATATCAATATAATGTACATCATATCCCAACAACCTGATTTTTTTTGCACTACACAAATTTCTTAATATTTATTATTACTTTTAAACGACCTCCTTAGTTTACTTCCGTTTTTAAACAACATCCTTTGTTAAATATTTAAATTTACAAAAAAAAAATTATTTCAAAAATATCTAAAGTGAGAAGGGGGGAAAGCAATTGCCAGGATTGCCTCCCCCCATCCCTATGGATCCCCCTTTAGTTGTCTGAAAAAAAGCTACTTTAGATGTAAGGTTATCAGGAAAATTATTAATGTAGATAAGAAACAAAACAAGACCAAAGATAAAACCTCAAGGTACCCCAGAGGTTCTTTTGGGGTCAGAATGTTCACCAGAATTTTCAAAAATTGGAACCATAGGTGCCATTTTCCAGCTGGTAAGAAAACAAGACTCAGTCAAGCATTTGTTAAATAGTTTAACAAAGAGAGAACTGAATAATTTACCTAATTTTGTAAGATCTGTTCAAAACCAGAATTATGTTATTCTAAAATTTGGAATAATTTTACACATAATCGTCACCTTACATCAGCCATAACTTTGCAACTGTAGTAACTTGATTATTGAAGGGTTTAAATGAACAGACATTTTTTTAATGGAATTTACATAATTGCCTACAGATCTACTGATTTCAATTCAAATAACATTAATTAATATGAAAATATGATCCTCATGACCCAGTCAGCCCAACTGTAAGGGGTAGCTGGGCTAAGAAGCTTTTTTTTTTTTTTACAAAAAAGGGAAAAACAATAAATTTATAAATAATTTACATTTGCATAATTGAAGCATGGTTATTATATTAATTTGAAGCATATTGTATTATAAATAAAAGAATCTTGCCAAATTAAAAAATAGCCAAGTAAAAGGAAAAAAAACTTCTTTTTCGCATGGTCATGAATCATGGCTAAAAATATACCCAACTAAACTTAATAATTGTCATAAAAATTATAAACCTTTTCTTTTCCTAATTCCACATATCCTTTTCCTGTAAAATTCACAAACTCATCATCACTGTATTGAAATTGAAGTTTACTTCCATCTAAAGTATCAGCATCCTCTATTTCAAATATATTGTGGAAATAACTTAGAATATAAAAATCACCAGTCTTCAGCCTGTAATAAAAACAAATCATATATATTAATTTTATTATATATGAACTTTTGCTGTTCATTTATACAGGATTATTTATAAATTTTTGCTTATATATAACATATATAAGCAAAATATATATATAACATATATAATATAACATTACTGCAATAAAGACTTTTCAATAAAGAATAAGTGTATAAAAGTTTTGCAATTATTAATAATGTAACTAATTATTACTAGAGCTTGCTAATATATAAATTATGTTAATTCTATGTAAAATATATCCATAGCACTAGAGAGAACTTATTGAAAGCATAATAAAAACTTGTTAAAAGCATATTGAAAGAACAATGAAATTGCAAGTGAAAATAGCTTTTTTATTATTCAATAATGGAAAAGGAATTGGCACAACAGTAAGAAAGTAATTGGATCAAAAAACAGATTTTGTTTTGTTTTATTACTAAAACCTTTGCATCTACCAATTTCAGTATGATGCCATGTTGCTAAACTAAATAGGCAGTCATATAAATGTGTGTATATATATATATATATATATATATATATATATATATATTATATATATATATATATATATATATATATATATATATATATATATATATATATATATATATACACATAGATAGATAGATCTGAAAATAAATAAAATGAAAACACTAGAATAAAAACTGACTTATCACAATGAGCACCCTCAACATTTGGCTTGCATTTACAGTGCCCATTTTCTGAACATGTTTTACTGACAGAACCACCAACATTACAATTGCAAGCTGAAAAATATAAGTATAGCTGCACAGAAACATTAATAAATATAATGAAAACTGTATGCAAACTATAGTTTGTATGCAGTATAAAAAATTGTTACAGACATTTTTACTATATACTTTTGAAAATATTTCAAATAAAAAAAAATTTAGACAGTAAAATGTAAAAATGCAATGTAAAAAATTGTATAAAAGTTTAATGTAAACAATATAAAAACATTTTTAAATACTTACAAGTACAACTAAAATAATTTCGCCTATCTAAACTTCTATAACCTGGCTTGCATTTATTACATGTTCGCCCAGTAACAAAAGGTCTACAAAGACACTGTCCTGTCTCATCACATAATTTTATATTTCCAATCGTTCCAGCACTTAAACAACCACATTTTGAACATCCACCATAAATATTTTTTGTCAAGTTAAAATATGTGTTCTTACATTTAGAACAATCATTTCCAGTGACATATTCTTTGCACATACATGAATCCTACAAATTCAATTTTTTTAATAAAAATATGTTGTAAAAAAATTGTAAAACTATTTAATTATTGTATATTAAAAAAATAGTCTATGAAATAGCATAGTTACCACTGTGCAAGGGCCATATTTTTCATAGCTTATTAAAGTTCCATCAATATTGCATTTACATTTATCTGATGAATAACATTTGGGATAAGACATACTACTAATGACACATTCATCACAGGTTTTACCTTTAAAACCTTGCCTACACTGACACTGTCCAGTTAAAGGATTACAAATATTATTGATTGAACCATCTTTGCTACATTTACATTTAATCGATGATTGGCAGTCTGGAAATGATGCATTACTTACAGCACATTCATTACATATTCTTCCTCTAAAACCTTGTCTACAAAGACACTGTTTAGTTGATGGATGGCAGCTATTGCTTAGTGAACCAACCTTGTCACAATTACATTTAACTGATAAAAGACAGTCTGGAAATGATGCACTGCTCATAACACACTCATTGCAATTCATGCCTTTAAAGCCTTGTCGACATTGACATTGTCCTGTAGTAGGATTGCATCTATTTGTGATTGAACCTTGCTCTGAACATTCACAATTTAAAACCATATCTACCCCACAGATTATTGAAAAAACTAATAATATTATTTGCCCTTTCATTGCTGTGAAAATAATATTGTGCTTACAATTTTTTAAAATTATATTTAACATATTTATAATATTTAACTAAATAAAAATAAAAAAGTGCAGCTCTTATCTTGAACTTCATAAAGTCTACATCTTTGAGACGTGAAAATACTATATCAAAAATATTTATATCAAAATTTTAGATAAAATTTATTATAAAATATTTTCATTAAAAAATACTTTCTTTTTTTCTTCTTTTTTTGTTTTCATATAGAAAACGTTTATTTATTACGCTACTTAAAACTTCTTACAACACTGAAAAAAAAATTAAAATAATAAAGACTCGTAAAATTTAAAACTCTTTTAAAATTTTCTCCTTTAAAAAGAAATTTTGTGTATTATTTTAAACGTGTGGTTATGTTTACAAAAACAGTATTCATCAACAGTTATGTTTTTACAATGAAGTCATCGGAATACAGTCACCTTTTTAAAATCTCTTGGTAAACTATTGACAAAAGTATATTTGATTTATAAAGTAAATTTTTAACAAACATTTTCAACAAAGTAAAAAATAATGTTAAAAATCGATATGAAAAAAAAGCACGTGTTTAACATGTGCTTAATTTTTTTTAAATTGCACTCGGTAAGTTAGGGGAGGGTGTAACATTGTGTAATTTAGAATTTAGATTTCGTTTTTTTTTTTTAAAAAAAACAAGCGAAATACGAGAAATCAAAACGTTATAACTGTTTAAAAACTGTCCCCAGATGAGCAAGAAGGGTGGGGGATTAAGTAACGCCCCTGACCTTTCATGACAAATTTTATATTATATGCTACAACGATTAAGCAGAAAACAACATTTTAATAGGTTATCAATAATAAATTTTATTTAGTCTTTATTGATATGCTCTTTAATTTAAAGTAATTATTTATTAAATAAATGTATAAACGATCGTAGCTTTGACCGTAACAGTTTTCTATTTCTAGCCGAGTCGTAGTCTCTTCTATTTTTCTACTTAAACCAATGAAATCAATGAAAGACTCTAATTATTTTCACTTCATTACCTTATATTTTCACTTATATTCACTTATATTCACTTATATTCACTTCATACCTATAATTGAGAATTTATCGTATCGTATTATGAGTTTTAAACGAAATATATACAATCTGAATATTTGTTCTGGTATTGTACAAGATTGTTATACACAACATTGTACTAGTATAAACTTGTCAAAGCCAAAGCTTGCTTTCTGTAAGTTGCGTGCCAAAATACCACAAAAAATATATATATATATATTTGAAATAACTGAAAAAATACGTTATATAATACTGTTCAAACATTAAACATCAAAGTATTAAAATAATTTAAATTTTGATTATTTAAAGTTTTATTTTGTTTATTGGTTGTTTTTGTTCCTTAAAATTGAATTAAATATTTCGGATATTTTTCTCAATAAAATAAAGTAAGAATACTTTGTACACGGCCTCAGCCAGTGTAGCAGCATGTTATCTACATGGGCGCCTGCAGGATTTTTTGATGTTTCAAATAGGACACTTTCACACATTGTGCAAACTTCAAACTTAAGTATGTTCATACTTATGCCAAATGAGGAGGTCTTGCAAAAATTTGGGATGGCAGAGGCCTGGGAACAAAAAAGCCCTAAAACGTTTGCCCCTTGCCCAAACGTGAGGGCACTAATGTAGTAAAATTTTCAACTTTACTATCGTAAACTACATTTAAATTTTATCGACAGATTTTAGTTTAGGCAGAGAGGGCAAACGTTTTAGGGCTTTTTTGTTCCCAAATTTTTGCAAGGCCTTCTCATTTGGCATAGGTATAAACATACTTAAGTTTGGAGTTTGCACAATGTGTGAAAGTGTCCTATCTGAAATATTAAAAAATCCTCAGGGCGCCCATAAGTTGTCCAAGTTACACAATTTTTTTATAAATTTATCAACCATGTAAAATCTAAAGAAGTTTTTTAGCCTGCTATAGTTATGTTCAATTGCAATAGCAAAACATTCTTTGTTGCATACCGGATAACTTCGAATAACGTTTAAAGTAATACCAATATATAACTTGTTCGAATTATAAAACAATTTAAAGATTTCCTTTATCATACATATATTATATATAATATTATTACAATTAAAAATTAATACATCATGTGTATAAACATTAAGTCTTACGCACACATACACGCATTTTTTGTAGCTGTAATTATGTATGTGTCTGTGTGCATATAGTTTATTTTGCAGAACACTAATAAATTTTAAATCTTACATAAAATAATATTTATGATATTGTAGGAAAATACTTGATCAATCGAAAACCACTAATTTAAAAAAAGCATAGACAATTATAAAAAATAAATCTCCTTTGTTCTATTTTTATTTACCTATAAACATTACACTCGTGAGATCAAAAAAGTAATCAGCAACTTAGTAGCTTTAAAAAATATTGGATTTACCCATTAGATGTTACTATCCTAAATCGTATGGCAGATGGTGATAAAAACATTAAAACAGTAGTCGCTAAGCAGTAGTTAATGTACTTTAACAGTTGTGTCGTGTTGATGTCAAAGAAAAAAAAAATCAAAGGAAAATTTCTTATGACCTTAAAATTTCTTATATGAGGATTTTTTGGCAAAATGTAAAGATATTTCACTTGCATAGTCTGTAGGTGAAACTGATGTAAATGAGACTCTTTTTATGCTAGTCCTCTTAAAAACATACTTGGGTGGGTGTTTTTTATGAAATAATTTTGTATTACTTTAGCAATAATATTCATGTGAAACTACACTGTTGTTTTTATTAAATTTTAAAACAAAACAATCCGTTTTTGAATAAGTTTTGCCTTTACAGAAAACATATATAAAGTTACCCCTTTGTGGGGTAAATTTGAATGACTAATTAAATTAATATTATGCAAAATCCGTTTATTTAAATATTATTTTAAATTTGAATTATGTAAGAGTCAATCTTAGCCACTATATTCATTTTGTTAAATTTCAAATATTTTCAATACTGAAGGAAGAGCAAGTAAAAACATCTCAAAAACGTTCAAAGTAACCCCGGTACACGATCACGGTTTACGGTACATCTGTCTGATAAACTCTTTTGTCAAACCCTTATTCCGACGTTCTATTTAAGGTCCAAAAATGTAAAAAAACGACTTCTTCATATAAAAGAGAACCTGCCTACCCCAAACCCTCAGTAGTTGTTTGCACACTCCGCTGCATTTTCTCTCTAAAAATCAGTCGATGTATGTCCACACCGCTGCGCAAATCCCTATATACCCCATTTTGCCTATTTCCTAGAAATTTATAGAAATATGAATTCGCGAACGCAAAGGACGCTCAACGTCGGAATAGGGGTTTGACAAGAGTGCGTTGCCATCTGTCTATATAATAAATAATTTTAAGTAAATTTTAAGTAAATTTAAATAAATTTAATTTAATTTAGTAATATTTTTTCGATTAAAGTTGTTAGAGCGCTTGCTTTGTAAGCAGTGGTTAGAGCGCTTGCTTTATAAGCAGGAGATCCAGATTGGAAACGAGCTTTGGACATATTTCGCCCCACTGCACAGTGGGACAGAGTGTGCCAAAATACAATAGAATCACTATCGGCATTTTATTCTGAAAATATGTGAAATTTATTATGAAAATAATGGTGAAAATATGTTTATTAGAAGAAATATATAGTTAAAAAAACATTAATATTAATTTAAACGTTGTTTTATGCGGTTATATACACGTGAATTTGACATGTGTTTCAAAACGCTTTTTTGCATTTTTTAATTATCAACTTTCTTACGCTACTATTGTTTTTAATTAATTTTATTGAGTATGATTTTAAAATATATTATTTGAATTAACTTTGTTTTTTTCGCTCTGACTATTCAAAACAATTAAACGTAAGTGTAATCTTCAGTTTTTATGCATCAGTGACAGGCAGTTTTGGCTTTTTTTTTGCTACTAACCTTTACTATTAGGTATCAGATAAACCGTCCTCCAATATCCTCAATAACATTTTATTATGTAAATCGGATGCTTAATGTATCTTAACTGCAATTTATCACAAATATTTTGCAACTTTGTGCAACTAATAAAGTTATAACAAATAACTTGTCCGCAAGATGCAATAACTTCAATTTTGTTTTTAGATAAAATATTTTGATCTTTTAAACTCTTTAAAAGATAATAAAATTTCTATTCAAGATACTGAGAAATCATATATTCATTTGCTAACATTCTTTGAGTTATCCCTTGATCAGAACAATGAAATTGTTTGGAGATCAAGACTTATGAACATTTTAGCACACCTTAAATATCACTGGAATGTCTGTAAACGCAGAGAATCTTTATTTATTAAGAACAATACTAAATGGCTTGATAATGAAATTAGTTTAAATGATTTTGCGTCAAGGCAAAATAACCATACCTACAAGTTCTCAATCTACTTCCAGCGCTACTTCCAGTCGACCAACAATTACTGACTTTCAAGAATGCTCTTCAAGAACTAAGTATTGACGTGTTAGTAAACTCCAAAAAAGTCACTCGTCAAATGAGCTAATATTTGCTTCAAAAGTTTTATTAAATAAAGAAGGAAAAATAGAAAAAGCTAAAGCAATCAACAAAATATATTTAGATAAGAATGTAGATTCTTCGATGCTTTCTGGAAATGAAGCATTGTCGTTGATGCTAGATTCAAATATGGCCAAAGCTGCGTTTCAACTCCATAGAAACGCAGCAATTGAAAAAGAATGCAACCTGTATCCTGCATATAACAACATAAAATCATCAAAACTTTTGTGCTACTCTAATAACATGATTTTTACTGACTATACTGCAAGTATACCACTGCAAAGTTTATGTGACCATACAGCTCAAAGACTTTGTCAAGTTCAAAATGAGGTTTTATGTATGCTAGAAACGTTTGACCAGGTATCTCTTTATTATAAAGCAGATTTTTATGGGTCTACTGGTCAAAGCATATATAAACAAAAAATGTCTGTTGAAAGTTTTCGCGACTTGAAAAGAGAAGGATCATT